ACATATGCCTTAGGAATTATTCTTCCCCCCACCTCCCTGGAACAGATTGGCAGTATTCTATAGATGAGATGAGGGGTTTCAATATTCAATGTAGATATGTGATATTTTACCGTGGATTACTTTTCTATGAGGTGGTCTTATACCAGAGAAGAAAAAAAAATTATTATTATCACTGTAACTACAAAGATGATTAAAGATTCAGTATCAACTGATTCAGTGTTACAACTGTCTTCAGTTAAAATATTGTTGTTGTTGTTGTTATTATTTCATCAGTGCAGTATTTTTGAGGAAAAGAAGGATCAGATGTGAAGTGTAAAAATAAAAAAAAAAAAGCCCATCTTAATCATTCGTCTGGAACTTTGAGGTTCTGACTATTTCAGGAACTTTTATAGTAATCAACACATTTCTGTTATTTTTAAATCTTTTCTTTCTTTCAAGACTAATATAAAATAGATACAAGAAGTCTTAATCATTCACAGTTGAAATAGAATTTCTATTGCCATTTTTATCAGAGTTGCTCTACAACTCTGTAGCAACAGAGTTGCTCTGTTCAGACACAGATATTAAACTAGTTACATAAGAATATTCATCCTTGATGCTATTAGCTTTGTGTTTTAACAGTCATGGGAAGCTATTAGTCTTCTGATTAAATGTAAATGTTTGTGAAAAATATCTGCAGAAAACTTAAACATTACATTAAAATGTCCAATTCCAGACATTCTAGGATTTTTCTACAAAAAAATTTAAAGAAAAGTTCAGAAATACCATTACAATTATGTGTGGCAGTTTAAAGGGTAGTTCATTTGCTTTCATCACCCATGGTCTTAGAAGCTGACTAACCTGACAGGTAGGGTTACTGTAATGGATCAGCATGATACATCATAGTTGTTTGCCAAGAAAGGAACTTAGTGGGCCAAAACTCACTTCAGCCAAAAAGATGTTCCCACCCAGGCCTTTTCTCCATAGGAGGGTAAATCTGCTCTAGTCGTCACTGAAATACATTTTCCTCTATTGGTTTCATACAATATTCTCACAAAAGTCAAACACTGAGTTTTAAGTATAATCTTATATATAATAAATAGATTTTTTGCTTTGTTTTGTTCACAAACTCTTGGTGGTTGTTCCCTGGATATTGCTTACGTAATGTGACTAGTATATAAATTGCACACAGTTCTGTGATGCTGTCAAAGGGACAGTCCTACTTTCCTTCCATCTTCTAGTTCTACACCATATTCTGTGGAAACACTTAGTTTCATGCAGCCATTAATATAATATGAGGGCACTGATGAAGCTGAAAAATTACTAGCTGTGAATGTTGCATCTGCTTGATCTAATTATTTCACAATTTTTACTAAGATGAAAAACTACCTAATCAAGAACATGTAGATGCATGTGTGAGAAAGGAGGGGCTGCCTTTTCAGCAGCAGTGGATTTCTGCTGGGTTACACTAGTCATGAAAGTACAGCACTTCTGCAAACCAGAAAATCCTACTTTCATTAATGCCAATGGGAAAACACGCTTTTACTTCTGCTAAACTAGGGCTGTATGCAGAAAACTTGTGGATATTTCACTATAAAATGAAATGGGAATTCAAAAAAGTAAAAAAAGTAGTGTGATAATTTTTTTCTTGAGGTTATTATTAAATTATTAAAATCAGAATAAGTCATGAATCATGCTCCCCACATTCTATATACTTGTGTGTTAAATGTAATGTTAAATTATAAGGTATTTCTTAAATTAAGAGGCCAGAACTGTACCTTGCTCACTAAACAAGAAATAAATCTGAAAGACTTCAAAGAAACATTACACTTTTGTCCATCTCTGTTGTTTTTTAGTAAGTGATAAAACTTCCAAGAGAATTGCCTAGAAAAAATCCCATGGAATAACTAGAGATCTGACAAGCCTTCAGTGAATTATGGGCTCTAGTTACCTTTCATTTTTTTATTTTTCAGAATTTGGCTTCATCACTTCCTTTGTGCTTCAGTGATAATATTTGATTGCCTGCACTGTGTGCAAAGGGGGACAGGAAGAGAAATTCTGTCCACAAGTGATGAGATCTACTAATTATTTGTACATATAGCAGGGTGAGCATAGGCTACCTCATCAAAAATTTTGCATGTATTTTTACATAGTGAAACACCAAGATATTTCAGAGCTATATTTCCAGTCTAACACTTATGGATTCAGGTGTAGACACTTCAGTGCTGTCCTTCTATTTGAAAAGAAAAAAATATTTGCACACCTAGAAATAACAATGCATAATTCTTTGGGCAGTGCTTTTCAATAATTGTTTCAAACAGTAAATTATCCTCATTCTACAAGTAGGGAAATTTAAGTGTGTATTGATGATTTGCTACTTGATTTACTTCTGTCAGAGGGGAGATCAAAGTCACCATTTGTTTTTCTAATCATTAGCCTATTGTATCTAGTTCATCAGTGTTTAAGATTATTCATAGTCAGATATCAGTTAAATGATAGCTTTTACCAATATAAATATGTGCCTTCATAGGTGTCAGAGTTTTTCTTCAGTAAGTTCCCCTAGCTGCTGAACAAAATAATTGCTGCCTAGTGCAGTTCTAGATAGAATCATAGAATCATAGAATCGCTTTGGTTGGAAAAGACCTTTAAGATCATCGAGTCCAACCGTTAACCTAACCCTGCCATCCCACCACTAAACCATATCCCTAAGCACCTCATCTATCCTTCTTTTAAATACCTCCAAGGATGGGGACTCTACCACCTCCCTGGGCAGCCCATTCCAGAGCCTGACAACCCTTTCAGTGAAGAAAGATGTTTTTCCTTCTTTTTTTTTCCCCCTAAGGCTTTATCCTACAAACTGACACGACTGTTCTTCAGTTTCATCAACCCATCCTACAAGTCTCTTATTTATTTGAATTACATTTTAAGCACTAATAAGAGAAATTAGAGTGATGATTCTACAAAGCCAGATCTACCAGATCGTGAATGTTTTTACAAGTTTTTATCACTTTGCAATTTGGTGTTTGTTTGTTGTTTTTTTTTTCCAAATGAAGCAATTATAGTAAAAAAAAATCCTCTTTGCTGAAGACCTTACTTCAAGACTAAAGAGCAAATAATTCTTCAGTACTAAGAAAACTCCTTTGACTATCTTCCAGTTAAGAAATATCCTCTTTTCACCTGAGATGAGTTTAATTTAGAAGTTTGTGGAGAAATCAAAACCTTGGGCAGGCATAATATGTGTTATTAGGTGAAACCTGTAGTACTTTGTTGAAACAAGTGTCTGTGTGTCTGAGCTTTATATCAACAACGTCAATACTACTTATCTCTAAGAAATGGTGAACAAAGAAGCTTAATGTGCTTATGCAGTATTCTAAAAGTTGAGAAATCAATTAAAATAGAGATAATGAATGTAGTCCTATTTTATAGGCTGCTCCCTCTTTTATTTATTTGGATCATTTTGGCTTTATAAATGAATTCATAGGGAGGTCTTAGCTATACACCATGAATCCATTCTGCGGAGAAGTATTTTTACATCATGTTTGTCTTTATATAATAAAAAATATTTAGAGATGTAGCTTATTTGGAATGGTGTAGCGGGGTTAATTTTTTTCCCCCCAAGAATTTCAGGGAGTAAGTCAGGCAAGAAAGACTTGACCTTGATAAAGCTTTGGCAGCAACTCTTCTACATCTCTGTAGTGTTGTTGTGGGGTTTGGTGATACTACACCAGACAGTGATAATTAAGGAGTAAAGGAGTCCTTTATTGTCCTTTTCCTTCTCTTCTCTCCTATCCATACTTGAGTACAACAGTTCTCTAGAAGCTTCTAACAAGTGGTAAATAAATATAATGGAAAGCACTGAAAAGTGGAAAACAGCTAGGAAACTGGAACCAAAACCTGCAAAAATTTCTATTCAGCTGAAATGAAACATGACTGAATCAAAATGCCAAGGCTATCTACTCTTCAGCATTTTGTTTACTGCATTGGCTTTCTACAGTTTAGCTACAGGTGTTAACACTAGTTTCTGTAAAATATAAATACGATTTTTTTTTTCAGACAGATGTTGGAATATAAGAGCAATTTTTTTACTTTAAGCAACTTATTCTTATTCTGGTAGAGCAAGATTTTTAGGGGTGTTTGGGGGGGTTGGGTTTTTTTAAGATACTCAAGAAGAAAAACCAAGAAGGTATAAGTGACTAGTCTCTACAAACTGTCCACATCAACAATTTCTCAGTGCTGGAGTGGGAAACCAATTTCTGAGACATTGGTTTTCCTCTGGGCTGAATGAATAATAGCAGATAAATAATGAAAAGGAATGCAACAAGATTTACTAGCAGAGTCACATCATCATGAGGTAGGCTATACCATACAGTAGGCTAGTGCTTCCCTTTCAAGAATAATATAAGAATATACTTTCTGGACAGCTTCTGGAATGTAGAGAGCAAAACAAAGCACCCTGTAAAAATGCTTGATTTTTTTCATGAAACAAAGAAAATCTATAACTTTTTTTTTTTTTTTTTTTTTTTCTCTCCTTTAGGGGAGGTGGAGAGGGAGCGGTTTGCTTAGGTAGGCAAATTACAAGTTAAGTTTGGCCTGGTAGGAAGTTCCACAGTTTGGGAAAGAAAACAAGTGAATCTCTGACTGTGGTTCTAGACAAATATTTTCCTCTTACTAGACATTTAAATTAATATATTATTTCAATTTAATCTTGTCTTGAAGGAAGAAAGCTTTTGCGTGGTTTCTCTAGACTCAAAAATTTTTGAGAGCACTACGATTATTTAATTACACTTCCTTTGCTAGCAATTCCTAGTCAAGTAATAAGTCTGCTTATGCAGGTATTACAAAAAATGTATTTTAATAGATATTTATTGTTGATGAAGCACATTTCTAAAACATGAACAGTATTATTAAGATTATCTCATTTTTATAGTGGTAATATAAACTGTTTGAGTTATTAATATAATTTGATTGAGGGAAGCTAAATTATTGTCTGTCTTTGTCTTTTTTAGGAGTGAAATTATATTATGAATCAAAACATGAATTTAGGCTCCACTCAGAAACTAATGGAAGACACGCAGGTTTTTGGGACCCAACTAAGACAACCTTATAAGTTAGCTGGACATTGCCAACAAGGTGGCCATCTCTGTAATGCAAATCTGCCATCTCAAAGTTTCCGCCCATATTCATCTCATTATCCAGATATGCATACAAATTACAGCAGTGATTGGGAAATTTTTGAAGCGATAAGAATTCAGGAACTGCAAGAAGTCAAAGCCAGAGCTGCCCAAATGGAGAAGACCATGCACTGGTGGTCAGATTGTACCGCTAACTGGAGGGAGAAATGGAGCAAAGTTAGAGCAGAAAGAAATAAAGCCCAAGAGGAAGCAAGACAATTGAGAATCAAATTAGACAGTGTTGTAAAAGAACTGAGTATGCTTAAAAAAAAAATTCAAGATTTAATACGTGAGAAGGAAAACGTAGAAAATGTAACTGCTTGGAAAACTGAATTCAGTTGCTCAGAAATGTCTTATACTAAAAAAGATGTAAACCAATTAACATTTCTGGAACAAGAACCTGAGAAAGAACTGAACAAAACCAACAAGATTCCTGGGGCACAAGGCACAAAAAAGGTAAAGAATGTGGAATTTTTTTAGTTCATGAAGAATTTGGAGATTATGGATGTGTATCTAAAAATGGGATTTTTTCAAGGATTTTGATGAAAATATTACCTGATCCATACAACAGTAAACCCACTTTTTTCACCTATTTAATATTCTTAATATAGGTAAATATGGAAAACAATTCACAGCCTTTGACTATGGCTAAACATTTAAATAACAGAGGCAGGCTGTTATATGCAATAACTTATTGTTCTGACTCTTATGTTTTAAGGTAACAGATTAGCTCTGTTATCTGAATTCTCCATATTTTGGAGAATTTTTTTTACCTCAAAAAAAGCAATGTAGGTTCCTGGCTTCTGAAATAAAATAATTTAATTCTCCCTTAACACAACTATTGAAATGAGGGGAGAGGTGAGGGAAATTCTTCTGCAAAGTGGCAAGATTTTTATTTGGCAAGGAGAGTAATTACATTGTTACGCAGAATTAAACAATCAAGTATGGACATGATTTAATACAGCTCCTAGTTCTGTACAAAAGAACCAATTATATTAATAAAAATGGAACTATTTCCTCATGTTTTACCAGCTTTAATTCTGTGCCTTGGCCTGCATTCCATAGTCTTCATAGGCAGCACCATGTAAAAACTATACTTTTTATTTGTCTGGTAGATAGCAGTCATTGTAGATGTAAGATTTTTTTTTTCCTACATTGTAGGAAAACATTTTTCCTTACACTGTAGGATGTAGGAAATTTTTTACTTCGGTTCAATAAAAATTATCAGGATCTTAGCCTGAATGTATTACTTTCAGAATTTTCACTCACTGTAATGCAGCTATATTACATTAGATTCCTGTGAATTCTGAAAAAAACCCCACCATAGTGTTAGTAGTGAGAACAAATTTGGCAAAAAAATGCATGCCTTTCATATTTTTGGGCAGACAGATGGGCCAATGGAAGGAAATGACACCAAATATATTTTAACTGTTTCTTCTCCTCCTTAGTATAAAATAATGCACTACTTTGAAATTGAAACTTTATATATGAATGAAAACCAGTCCTATCTTTTCAGCAGCTTCTATTATTTTCTGATATAGCTTTCAGGCATTCTAAAAACCCAGAAGACATGGTGGTATGAAATAGTACTGTTAGTAATCTGCTAAAATTAGGTTAGGTTTTAAACAAAATTTGTCAGAGGTGGTAAAACTTAAATACATTTCTAAAGGAAGCTATTGTTTATAAGAGATGTTCAGTCTTCCTCATAAAGTTGTATTTGATTTTTTGATTATTTTTCCTAATTGTTTTTAGTTTTGCTTATGTTTTGTATGCAAAACATGTATTTTCAAAATAGATATTATAGTGCTTTTTGTTTCTGAATGGGATCCAAGTTGGTATGTTATGCAGTTAACTTTGGTCCTTATGCAAAACTTGTATAAGCCCATCATCTGCTTCCACATAATGTACATTAGAAGTTTAAGAGTTCTTAATGTAGAGTTTCTCAATATATTATTTGTATGCATAAATTGAATTCCTGGTTCTGTTAGTTCCAGGATTCTGCCTTTCCTGTACTTATAGACAACCAATAATAATTGGAATCTATTTCTTTAGTAAAGATACATTAGAAATAATTTGGATATGAAGCTTGTCATAACAGAAGTTGTGAGATGTCACAAAACTACAGTGATCCTCCTGCAATGACTTTTTTTGCACATTCTATACGTATATGATTCAACTGTGAAGACATTACTTACTCCCTTTTTACTCTTATGTGACTTAACTTCTACAGGGCCTTCTAAGGCTGTTCTAGAAATTTATGTTAGACTTTTCCCTTCATTTATATTTTTCACAGATGTCATATTTTTGTTTTCTCAGGATGTAGAGGTAATCAAAGTCCAAAGAAGTCACATTAAAAAAATCACTCCAAAGCCTCCTGATTCCTTTCCCAATGGAGTTCCCAACATCTTTTTGGAGGAACCTAAAGAAAATTTGGACAGTACAGCTAGGACAACAAAGAATGATTTAATACATGTTTCAGTCTTGCATTTGCATATGGCTGAGATGCAGAAAATCTTACAGAAGGAAAGAGAGTAAGTGCAAAATGTATCCTACTTGGTGAAATCTCTATTAAAACTAAAGGGTTTTAAGACGCTTTCTAAAATAGATATCATAATATTTGCATTTATAGCTTATAAGTTCTCATTTCTAAGATTTATTTATTGCTATTTACAAGGCTTTGATAAGAATTTAGAAAGAAAATTCAGCATAGTGTGTTTATTGCTTTCCTTGGCTTGTCTGTCATTTAAAAAAGAAGTGCTCCATACAGAACTGTTAAGAATGTATAGTTAATTAAAAAATTATACTTATTAAAAATTTGGTATCAATGCAGTGGTATCTAATGTGTTATGCTCAGTTATTGGAGTGCTTTGTGCATAATAGCAAATTTTCATATTCTCTACCAGAAGACTTTGAAAGAGTCAACTGCAGAATGACTAAGGCTATTTTTGAATTAAAAATACATGAATACAGCTGCAAAATGCTGTTAGACTTAACCTCTTCACTTGCAGTAAGGTCTATGTCAAAAGTAGATAATAGAGAATAGCACGCTTATTGTACGCTTACTTTATCCTATCAAATTTACTTTGTATAAACAGTAAATGTGCATTTTGATGGTGTAAAAGAAGTCATATGTTGATTACACAATGTATGCTAGCATGTAAGTCTCTGTGTTGGTAGGAATTCCTTGATGTTTCATACAGATGATCAGTATTGAGCAAGATTGAATCACACCAAAAAAGCTTTCCAAGAGAACACACAGTATGAGATGTATGACGGATGTAGTTGGAGACTTCAGGCACTATGTGACTAACTTCAAAACCATCTGAAGTTAATTAGAAAGTGAAAAGAAAGAAAATACACCCTCTGTTGTAAATACATTCAACAGTTTCAGTTCAGACAGTCTGTGATGAAGAATTTCTTTCCTGTCAGCTTTTTTCACAATTGTCCTGTGGATAGTACAAGTCTGATTAAAAGAAATGAAAAAACTTTTAAATTCCAAACTAGTGTTTATTGTGTTCTGTTATATGAATTAGATAGCTGTAGAAAAGATAAGATAATTCTTTTTTGAATCATATTGCAGCAGGTGACCAGAAGTGTGTTTTATGTTATTAAAAAGGATTCAGTGTTTTGTGGAAACAAAAATCCCAGAATGCCTAAATTTTCCAGTTTGTCATGGTATTTCTTGTGAGTTAAGAGACTGATGCCTCACATCTCCATTCTCCTCTGGGTGAAATATTTAGGGTCCTAGGTACTTCATTTTTCAACAGCAATCACAGTATACATACATGCATATATAAAACTTCCCTTTTAGAAATGGGATAATTTTTCAGCTCCTATTTTTTTAATCACTTCATAGAAAAAAAATTAATAAACCCTGGTTCTACCTCCTCATTTTGGTTGGTTTGTCCAAGTGCTTCTCTGGCCAATTTGTAACTGTACTTCAGAGAGACATATTTTTCCATTTATCCCTAGATAGATACTGACTATGGTATACAATAATAAATTTACTAGTACATGGTAAGAACTGGGACTTGTCTACACTGTGCAACATATACCAGTGCCAACCTCAGGCAGGCAGCAAATGCTCACAGAACAGTGATTTCCACATAGCAGTGGGCACTGGTGTAACAACTCCGTCTGTACGTCTCTTTGGGCAACACCTCCCATATGCAAAGATGTTCTGTAAGCAGAATATATGCAACTTAAAAGTATGAGACAATTATTTTTGGCAATGCACACAGTAAATAGCTAGGAGTAATGTTACCAGGATAAGCATTAACATAGTCACCAGTCTCCTGAGACACCCTGTAAGTCTTTGCTGGACAGGCTATCATCTGCCAGCTCAGGAAGCATTGGTCTGCCCTGCTTACTGGAATAGGTTTATTTTGTTGAGTTTTCTATCTTCAGATTCCCAGGTTTCCCTCTCAGGGTTTTATACTTGTTCACGTCAGTATTTTTGCTCCTGGATCCTGGAGGTGCTAATAATAACTATCTCAGCAATCTCTCCCCTGTTTGCATTTTTACTTTTCTTATCTTGCATGGCTCTAGCTTAAGTACTTTCTCACAGCTTCTTCCTCACAACTTAGTAATTTTCTCAGAAAACTTGAGCCAAGGACACACAGCTGTGCTGCATCAAAAGCAAGCTTGGATCACAGACAACTTGAACCTCAAGTCCAAAGGTTACCTTGGCAGTCGGTGCAATCTTATTCATACAGCACAGGACTTCTCAGCAGAATTTTCTGGTTCACATGCAGTATTCCCGAACTGTGGCCGCGTTCGTTCCAGAGTCAAATTAGCTCATGCAGATCCAAGTGTTTGGACTTGCCCCTAGCTACCTGACTAATCTCTCCATAAGATGTTTTGCTTCTTAACCCTGAGAGGACCTATGCTTCTTGCATTCTGTTTAGAGCTATCTTCAGTAATGCCAATATACCATTAAGCCATGGATCAGGCTTTCCAAAATACAGAAGGAAAGGAGCTCTAAAAAAAAAAAAACAAACCAAAAAAACCCGCCAAAATGAAGAGCTCAAAGTTTATGTTTCGATTTTCAAAGAACTTCAGGGTTGGGTTTACAATGTAAAATCACACACCAAAATCCTCTGCTAGGCACTATGGCTCATATTAAATACACGTTTGAGAGCCCATTGATATGAACAGGAATTAAAGACCTTATGAGTCATTCAGCACTTTAAAGAATCATTTGCCTAAAATAGGTATCTTTAGTCATCTTTTGGATCAGTGTTCTCATCTAAATGTCTTCTAGTTTCGTGATCTTAATTTATTCAATTTTGAACTTAAAAAGTGTTTCTTTGGTCTAAAACTACAAAAGCCCACCAACTGCACTGGTAGTTGACAAAATCGAACAGGAATTGCTTAGGGCCTGGTGGGTAGGCTTAGGCAATGGACACAGGAGGTTCTGTCTGAGCATCAAGAAACACTTTTTTTTTCTGTGAGGACGACCAAACACTGGCACAGGTTGCACAGAGAAGTTTCTGAGTGTGCATCCTTGGAGACATTCAAAAGCCATCTTGACATGGTCCTGAGCAACCAGCTCTAGGTGACCATGCTTGAGCAGTGGAGGTTGGACCAGATGACCTCCAGAGGTCACTTCCAGCCTCAACCATTCTATGTAGTTCAGTGATTTAATTAGATAATAAGGAATTAAAATAGGTGGTTAAAAGATCCATTAAAAATGCTCTGATCTTGATCTTTTAAGTAGCAGTAAGATGCTTCACCAATCTCTGCTATATTACTTTTTCTACTTTTTGTTTTCTTTATTTAAATAATAAACTTCATGTGGTCAGGATCATCTGTTTCATTCAGTAGTATCAGAGGCACCTGATCTCAAGAGGTACTGTAACACAAAAGTAGTATCTTCTAAGTAAGCACCACATACTGGACATTCCTCTTTAACTTTTCAGATTAGATTATTTCTAAGAACTTTCAATGCATTCAGTAGAGTCAACAAACTGTTGCTCAAAGTATTAAACTGTCATCTTTCATGCTTTCACTTTCTACTGTATTAAACATCCCTCAATAATTCTTTTAGCTACCCAATGAAGTCATGATACTGTTACACTGAGATATCCCATTACTTTAGAAGAAATACTGTTCAGTTGAAATGCATATCTTAGGTGCTTTACATATGACAGAAGTCATCTTGCTCCACTTTGCTTTGAGTGATGGTGTTTATCTTATTACTATGTTATGGGAGCCATAACTGTTGACCAAGATAAACTGTGCTATGTGCTGTATCTATGCCGAAAAAGGAGATCCCTGGTTCAAAAGTGTAAAGCTTTGCTGTAAAAGAAGATAGAACAAGAAGATAACTTTACTCAAGTGGATTGCTTCATTAATGTAGCTAACATTGCTTCCAGGACCTGAGCCAGACCAGTCAGTGGTAACTCTTGGTGCCTCTGTGCGAGCCTGCAGTATACTACGTAGACATGCCCCAGACAATTCTCATCAAAACCCTTTGCTTTAATTCCTTACAGTTAACAATGCTGTTGTGGAAGATGAATTTTTAAGCAAATATTCTCAGAATGTAGTTACAGTCAGCCTGGCGTTAATATCTAGCAAAAAGGTTGACAAATTCATTAGCCTCAGAATAGAAAAGAACTACTGTGGCAAACAACAGTTTCTTTAATTGCCAATATTAAAATTTTCATTTCAACTATTTAAATATTTTTCTCTTTTCTCGTATACCTGCCCTTCATCCCTCGATTTTCATGGAATTTATATAATGTAAAATTTTCATCTCCTAACATAATAGTACTCATGTGGTTTTATTATTTTTTAGATTTCAAATTTCTTCAGCATCCTGGCTTTATAGGCTTTATTCCTATATTGATGTTTATAGCCAATGGAATATTCCAGAATTTTAAACTGTGATTCAATTTCATAGAAATGTTAGAAATACATTTTGAATGCTTTTATTTGTAATTAAGAATTTTTTCTTTCACGTTTAATTATGTTCCAAATTCTATTTTGTTGCAAAATTGCGAAATGATGCATATGCATTACACAAATATAAAATTAAACTATGAAGGAATTTCATAAAACAGAATTAGGACAAGTTTATTCTTGTCTTTGGAACTAATAATGTTTCCTGTGAACACAGAAATGAGTTTTTAATTGGTCTCAAAGACAAGAACATCTGTAGTGACTCTGTTGCTTCATTTTTCTTTCATTACTTCCTGAATGACTGAAAATATTTTAATTTGTTAGAAGAGGGGGAAAAGTAAATATCAAAGTTCATTCTTTCTGTAATACAGTACCTTTCTACAAGGAATTGCCATTTATTCTTTGTGAATTGTGTATCTTAAGTATTTTTCCTGAATGTAGTAATGGACATTATGCTCAAACAACATTCCAGAGGCAAACGCTTAACAAGGGTGTAGTACCTCTGACCTAAATAATCCATCTTTCTAAAATTCTTCTAGCATTTTCTTTCAAGAGCTATTATTTTTTGAAACTTGTAATACACATATTTTAATTTGTTTTATATATCTAAATTAGATCATAGAATCATAGAATGTTTTGGGTTGGAAGGGACCCCTAGAGGTCATCTAGTCCAACCCCCCTGCAGTGAGCAGGGACACCGCTAACTAGATCAGGTTGCTCAGAGCCCCGTCCAACCTGGCCTTGAACGCTTCCAGGGATGGGGCCTCCACTACCTCTCTGGGCAACCTGTTCCACTGTTTCACCACCCTCATTTTAAAGAACTTCTTCATTAGATCCAGTCTAAATCTACCCTGGTTTAGTTTAAAACCATTACCCCTTGTCCTGTCACAGCTGGCCCTACTAAAAAGATTTTCCCCATCTTTCCTATAGGCCCCCTTTAGGTATTGAAAGGCCGCAATCAGGTCTCCCCGCAGTCTTCTCTTCTCCAGACTGAACAACCCCAACTCTTTCAGCTTGTCCTCACAGGAGAGGTGCTCCAGCCCTCGGATCATTTTTGTGGCCCTCCTCTGGACCCGCTCCAACACTTCCATGTCCTTCTTGTGCTGAGGGCTCCAGAGTTGGACGCAGTACTCTAGGTGAGGTCTCACCAGAGCAGAGTAGAGGGGCAGAATCCCCTCCCTCGACCTGCTGGCCACGAGATCATCTTTGGTTTCAGTAGTGTCCACATACTGTATATATTCTCCTGTACATGTGTGTTTAAAATAATCTTCTGTCTGTACACAAATAAAAGTGATACAGTATCTTTTCTCTGAGGATCTTCAGTAACTTGCCATGTATTAGGCGACCTGAATCACTAACTGAAGTCCATTTCCAAATTTTCTTCAGTTTATCCCAAAAGTTTATTTCATTTAAAATTTTAATTCTATAGTACTGGATTTCTTTATTCTCTGTAGCTATTATTTTTGTTAAATATCTTGGAATAATGATATGATCATAATAGAGGTTTTTAATAAAAATGAGATATACAGTTGACAAGGGCATCAAAATATAACTCAAGCTATGAAAAGGATTCAAAGTAATTTGTCTGTTGTCAACTTCAAAAAGATGTAATGCTGACTTTAAAAATACCTTTTCAGAATGAATGTATTTCTGGCAAAAGAAATGGAAAATATAGAAAATGAATTATTCCTGTGGAAATGGAAATATGAAGAACTGAGAGAAACCAAGCTGGAAAGCCTGAAACAGGTATGTTAGCAGTACATCATTATAACATGGAGTAAGCAAAAAAATTGAGACTTCTGATTTCCTGTGTTCTAACTAAGAGTAAAATCATATCTAGGGTTTATGAAAGTGATAAATCAGCCATTTATCAACTATTTATACCTCTAGCCTGGGGGGAAGGTACTGCCAAGTGTGTGTGGAGAAGTCCAGCCGTGGTGCAGCCATCATTGTGCTGCCATGGTGGCACCAGTGCTGGGGAGCTGCAAGGATGGCACTAGGGTGACTCCATAGTCCCTCAGGAAGGGACTGGCCAGAGGAGGCAGGTGCTGGTGCCCTGTCCCCATGTGTGGTGAGGGTGGTGGCTGGGATGTACAGTGAGCCATGGTCAGGGTCCATCTGGGTTTGGTTTTGGGCAGAAAGAGCCCATGTGGGGCAAGGGTGTGTATGGGGAAGTCCCTCCACCGTGAGGACTGAGGACACTGCCTCCAGGCTACCAAGTCGGCATGGTGGGCGTGGCAGCCTGGCAAGGAGGAAGTGGTGCGGGCATCCCAAGATCTAGGCTGTGGTCGAGAGGTGACTCCTGGTTAGGGAGAGCCCAGCCCATTCAGGTGGCACTGGGGGAGAGCTGTGTAACTTCCAGGTCCAGAGCGCAGGTCCCAGTCTGTCTCTGTGGCAAGTGGTGTCTTGTCCATCAGTGTGCATGTGGGATGGTGCTGGAAACATGCTTATGGCAGCATGAGACACTTCAGCAACAGCAGTGGCACACCCTGGGGCATGGACCCCCGCGTGGGTTGGGGCTGCTGCTGCTGGCACAGTAGAGTCCTCAGCTCAGAGATGCTGAGGGAGGATGCAGGTCCCCAAGCCATGGGCTGCAGGCAGTGCCTGATACCTTCCATTGAGGCTTGGGTGGAGGAAAGGGTTGGGTAGGATCCCATGGGAGGCAGCTCTGACTGGTAAACAAAGCTGGCATGTCTTGAAGTACAGGATCTTCCAAGTGCAACAAAGGTTTGTCCTAATATTCAGGAGAACAGGTAAATGTGTCAGGAGACCAATTTATCTTAGCAGGGAGCTCTTGGAGTTCTGATGCCAGAAAGCAATATACTTTTATAAAAGAGATCAGCTTTCAAAGGAGTAATTTAAAAACACTGCCTGGGTATGTAGGAATGGTGTTAGGAAAGAAGTGTTCATTTCAATCCAAGTTCATGAGTAGAAGAATAAGAAATATTTATGTTGCAGCTTTCAGGATTTACCTTTCAGAACAGTGGGTCAAGGACCTCTTAGATTTAACAAGACTAAAAATGTATATCTATATAACTAAATATAGATAGAAAATTTAAAATTTCATAATAGATTTAACATCTCAGATTTGGAATAAACCAGGAAAATTAATTCTCTTTTTTTTCATGTTTTGAAAAAGATTGCAAGCAGACTATTAAATTCCAAGTTCTAGTTACAAGGTTGTCCACTTGTAAATGGAGTTTACTTCACAGATGAACATTCACAGCAACAAATTAACATCTATCTGTCATATTTGAATTCCTTCAGATTTTAGTTCTTTATTTTCTGCTTGCTCGTTAAGTAGGATTTTAGTTTGTCATACTTCTGCACAACAGAGGAAACCTAGATTTAGTTAATTGTTTTGCTTAAGAAATGTAGTCTTTATGGTTTATGACACTGTCAG